ATGAGCTAGATAGCTCTGATCCGGATATTTCTGATGATTAGAAAGTGTCAAAGTTTGAAAAGTTTAGGATAAAGCATTTGAATAAGAATTTTAAATTTGAATGGGGTATGCAATTCAATTCCCTGGATGAATTTAGAGACGCAATACGTGAGTGGTCAGTATTAAGTGGTAGGGAAATTACCTTTGTGAAAAATGAGAGCTACAGGGTAAGGGTTGAATGCAGGGCCAAATATGGTTTTTAATTCTTTTCTCTAAAGTGGACCATAAGCACACTTATGCTATAAAAACCATATTTGACAAACATACTTGTGCTAGAGTTTTGGATAACAGATCTGCAAATTCAATGTGGGTGGCTAAGGTTGTAGTGAAAAAAATTCAAACATCTGAGAGTGTTAGGATCTATGATATCATTCAAGACACGATACATAATTATTCTACGAGGATCACTGTTGGTAGAACATGGAAGGCAATGCTCATAACAAAGAAGATAATCGAAGGAGATGCAGATAAACAATATGCAAATTTAAGGAGATATGCAGCTGAGTTACATAGAGTGAATTCTGGGAACACTTTGAGTATCATTGTTGACAGACCAAATCCCTCCATACAACCAAGGTTTGGGTCTTTTTACTTTTTCTTTGATGGTTGTAAAAAGGGTTTCATTAATGGTTGATGACCCTTTGTTGGAGTTGATGGTTGCCATTTGAAAACAAAATATGGGGGTCAATTATTAATTGTTGTGGGTAGGGAACCCAATGAATAGTACTTCCCTTTGGCCTTTGGAGTGGTTGAGACTAAAATAAAGGACAACTGAAGGTGGTTTCTTAACTTTCCAATGGCAGATATTGAACAAGACAAGAGATATGTGTTTATCTCTGATCAACAAAAGGTGTGTCTTATTGTCATTATGTTGTTAATAAACACATGTTATTATGTACTTATTTCAATAAATGTTTCAGGGTTTGGTAGATGTGTTTGAAGAAATGAATAAGAGGATATAACATAGGTTGTGTCTAAGGCATTTGTATGCAAATTTCAAAAAAAGATTTAGGGTTGGTTCTTTGATAAGAGATCTGATGATGGGGGCTGAAAAATCAACCTACTATCAGGGATGGTTCCAAAAGATGAATGATCTGAAGCAAGTAGACCCAAAGGCATGGTCTTGGCTAATGGGAGTTCCTCCAAAAAGTTGGTGTAAGAATTCTTTCATATTTTACCCTAAATATGATGTTCTGATGAATAACATTGCTGAGTCTTTTAATGCAATAATCTTAATTCTCTCAACACTCAGGAATTTATAGTTGACATTGGCAAAAGGTCTTGTACATGCAATTTCTGGGAGTTGGTGGGGATTCCTTGTAGGCATGTTGTTGCAGCTTTAGGTTTTAGGTAACAAAATCCTGAGGAATTTGTTGATGACTGTTATTCTAGAGAGAAATATGCACTCTGTTATGGTTTTGTTATGAGTCCAATTAATGGTCAAGAATGTGGGTTGAAGTTCAGTCAGAAGAGTTGTTGCCACCTATATATAAAAAAGGTCTAGGCAGACCCATGAAGTTAATGATTAAGGAGAGTGGGGAACATGGTGCTAGAAGGAGGTTGCCAGGTGTGTCTTATAAGTGTACAAAGTGTGACAAATTTGGTTACAATGTCCAGTCACGAAAAAGCACAACACAAGATCTAAATGGGCTGAAGAGAAAGGTATCGTTAGTGATCTTTACTTATTTTGTATGGCTTCTATGTATCTGATCTGATAATGATTGTCTTGTATTTTGGTAGAAAAAGGTCAAGGACAGTACATCCATTCCACACTCATCTTCTATAACAACTCCAACTACTGCAACAATTCCAACTGATGCAACAATACCAACTGATGCAAATTAATCAACTAATACAACAGAACCAACTAATGTTGCTCAACCAACTGACTACTTTGATGACATTTCTGATGAGCTCATTTTAAGCCTGCCAGAGATCAACACAACACATTCATCTGCTGCAGAGGTTATAGCTGACAAAAAACCCAAAAGAAAGGGGAAAGAGGTCAAGCTAATTTATAAGAGGTCAAGTGAAAAAATTAAACTAAAGTGGTTTCAAAAACCAATCATAGGGCCTGGTTCAAACACAGACACCAACCCATGTATATGATATAAGAAGATAGAGGCATTTTGACACAAGAAGGAAGTGGTTCTCAGGATGCAAAGAAGAAACTTAGAAGGTAGTTTGTTATGTCTGTATTAACAATTTCAAGATATGACTTATATATTTTGTTATGGCTTATGCCTTATGTACCGACTTCTACATTTTGTTATGGCTTATACCTTATATAATGACTTATGCATTTTGTTATGGTTTATGCCCTTATGTAATGACTTCTGCCTTATGTTATAGCTAATGCCTTATGAAGTTTTAATCTAATGTTATTGATCACTTTTATTGAATGACATAAAAAGGCTCACTTGCATATATTAACTCAAAAAGAGCAATGTGATTTACAACATCATATCATAAGAGACATCAAACTTCATAATACAATATTGATACATAAATCCAACCTCCTAATACATTACTGTAACTTAAACCAACACATTACACTTCCTATTACATATACTTGTACAATACTGCAAACACAAACTAAGACATCCAAACTTCCATTTTCAATTGGAAACTTTTCCTCTTCATAACAACAATCTTCAACTTGGATTTTTCTAGTGTCATTTCAAACTTCACCCCTGCCATATCACAATTTTTGCAACCAACTTCATGCTTTGTGAATTCATTCATGGAGTGAGCAACTTCATCATCCCAAATAAACAGATCACAACAATTCCCCATCTGCATACACAAACAACATTAATGACATAACATATGAATGAAATTCGCGAAACTCATGTACTCAAGCACTTACCCCTGTGTTTTGACATTTCCAAAACTTCCTATTATGGTTTTGTATAATATTTGGAATCCACATCTTCATCAGACGACAACAGCCGCACCTGGGAACAATGGAAATCTCAAAGGAATTGATGCTTTCACCATTGTTACTTGCAACCATTTTACCGTTTTAGGGTTTCGAGAAACTAAAGTGAATGAATGGGTGACAAAAGAAGTATCAAATGGAAGAAGCAATTTTGGGGAAAATGGGAACAGGCGGATTGATGAAGAAGAAGAACATGGAACCTTAGTAATGAAATTGTCCAATGTGGCAAAGCACAACACGGTCAGCCATCTTGACTTGGCCACGTAGGCCAAGTACATAGAATCTTGGCTTAAATTTGGCAACAAGGTTTTTTAAGATGGAATCTTTAATTGTTGAGGGAGGATCAATTTTTTTTGAGGGGGTATATCAAAACACGCTTATATGGTAGGGGATAAAAGACATTTAACCCTAAAAAAATTGGATAAGTTAGAGGACGTGATGGGGATTGTGAAACATTTACTAAAGGCCAGATTAATCATTTTGGCAGCACCTTATTTAAGGGAAGATTGCAAAGAAAATCAGATTTTTTGAGGATTTCTTTTTCCACCCTATAAGGAAAAGAAATATCCCATGCAATTCCAAAAATGCCCCCAGAAAATCGGAAATATATTTCTGGTGCGCACCCACACACTTATAATTCATTTCTTTTTGAGATTCACCCTATTTTACGACAAAATTTATCTCAGAAATGCACTTTCGGGAATTCCCGAAAATACACTTCCGGTAAAAAACACTAGGCTCGTTATTTATGATATATCACAAAAAAGCAATATATATGTACTTCTATTTATGTGGTGGCAGTAAAATTGCTGAGATGAAGAAGGATGATCCACTAGAAGCAATGGGGGCAGCCCTACGATGTAGCACTTTGTGAAAGAAGTATGAATGCTTTGTTCAATCGAGTTTACTTGCCACACAAATTGAGATAAAAATATTTTAATAAAATTGTTTTTATTACCGTTTCTCTGGTTTATTGTTATTTCAAGTAGTTATATACCTCTGTGGGCTGGGAAGTGGCATCCCCTCAATTATTTTTGAGATTGCCCTTAGTAGTGGAAGTGTATTTCTGGGAATTCATGGAAGTGCATTTTCGGGATAAATTTTATCGTAAAATAGGGTGAATCTCAATAAACGAATGAATTATATGTGTGTAAGTACACACCAAAAATATATTTATGATTTTTAGGGGTATTTTTGGAATTTCGCGTGGTTCGCTAGAAAAACATAGGGTGGAAAAAAATCGTTATTTTCTTACTTGTATAAAGTAACTTGTTTGATTTATTTAATTATTGTCCTTATTTGTTTTGGATCAATGTTGATATTACATTCTCTAGTTTGAATCATTGATTGGACCGATTAAATTTCAGTCTAAACCACTGCAGCACATGAAAGATAGTCAATGTTAGTGTGGGTCGTCTATCAACGATGATGGATATATTAACTTCACCGATATGAAACTTCAAAACGACGATGATGTCAGAGTCTTATTCTCAATATTTGATTAATTTAGACACTATTCTGATGCGTTGATACTATATATTTAAATCTGATTCGTCCTAAGATGTATGTCGAGACTCTGGCATATTTGGTTGAATACGATTAAAAAATAATTAATTCATGTTATTGTTAGTGTTTAATATATAAGATATTAATTTTCATATAGTTTATTTTATTTCGGCCAATTTAATTTATAGTTGTGCAAAGATATGAATTAAATTATTTCGAAATTTAAAGAAAATTTTAAAAACATGTCTAGATTTTAAAAATTTAAGAATGACTTGGATTGAGAAAAGAAAAAGTCAATAAATTAAACATTGAAAGAAAAGAAAAAGGAAAAAGAAGTCCTTTGCTTGATGTGGTGAGTGTGGCGCCTCTATGTGAAGGATCTTCATCTGAAGTGAACTTTGACATGAAAACTCATCTCAGTTTTCAATCTCTCTTAAAACCCTAAATTCCCAATTACTATCCATTTTCTTTTGCAAATTAACCCTAAAACCTTTAACACACCATAGAAGATAAAATGGCAATGCTTTCTCTAAAAATCCCCAATAAGCTAGTCTCACCCTCTTCCATTCCCACTCCACTCTCTTGTTCACATTCTTCATTCACTCTCAGAAACTGTGTTTCGGTGAGCCCTAGATTAAGAACCAGTAACACCGAACCCCAGCGACGTCGTTTTAGACCTGTTACATGCTCATTTTCATGTGTTGATAATGCTAAGATTAAGGTTGTCGGTGTTGGTGGCGGTGGTAATAATGCCGTTAACCGCATGATTGGTTGCGGGTTACAGGTTTGTTTATCTTTAATTACATGATTGGTTGCAACTACGTTCTTCACATTGTTTTATTATTAATCAGGGTGTGGACTTTTATGCTATAAACACTGATGCTCAAGCACTGTTGCATTCTGCGGCTGAGAATCCTATCCAAATTGGACAACTCTTGACCCGTGGGTTAGGTCAAACATTTGCTTTCTATGCCTCAGAGATCCCTTTGTGCAACTTGCTCGTATGCATGCATGCGTGGCTTTAATTCTTATATGCCATTTGATGCAGGTACTGGCGGTAATCCACTTTTCGGGGAACAGGCTGCTGAGGAATCGAAAGAAACTATTTTTAATGCTCTTCAAGGATCAGATTTAGTATTTGTAACTGCCGGTATGGGTGGTGGTACAGGGTCTGGTGCTGCCCCTGTTGTGGCCCAGATAGCAAAAGAGGCTGGCTACTTAACCGTAGGTGTTGTTACCTATCCTTTCAGTTTTGAAGGACGCAAAAGATCCTTGCAGGCATGTGTTCATTCTTTCCTTATGGTTGAATGTATTGCATAAATTGCTTGATGTTTATTTTCTATCTTCTGAGATAATGTAGTGCTTTTAACATACTTTTGAGTGGTTGAATTGAATTTCCAATGTCATCGTTTCAGGCACTAGAAGCCATCGAAAAGCTGCAGAAAAATGTGGATACACTTATAGTGATTCCAAACGACCGTCTTCTTGACTTAGCTGATGAGCAGACGCCTCTTCAGGATGCTTTCCAGCTTGCTGATGATGTTCTACGACAGGGAGTACAGGGAATATCAGACATCATAACAGTGAGTTGATCAACAATTTATTGATGTTTCCTATCTCGTCACTGTAATGTGAGAAAGTTTAGTTTATCACAGTAGGTTGCAAAGAGAATTAGGTTATTAAAAAGTTGAATAAATTCTCTACCTCCTTTTTTTCATTTGAGTGATGATACGAATTATCCTGTCGAGTACATTTTGATGTTCTTCTATTGCAACGATACAAATTATCCTGTCTTTTTTACAGATACCCGGTCTTGTAAATGTGGATTTCGCTGATGTAAAAGCTGTGATGAAAGACTCTGGAACTGCAATGCTTGGAGTAGGTGTTTCCTCTGGCAAAAACCGTGCAGAAGAAGCTGCAGAACAGGCTACTTTGGCACCTTTAATTGGATCATCTATTCAATCAGCTACCGGAATAGTGTATAATATTACTGGAGGAAAAGACATAACTCTGCAGGAAGTGAATAGAGTGTCTCAGGTACTTCTTTTTATCAGCACTTGTTGAAAGAGCATCCTATCATTCCTTTTTTTGCACTAATGATCTGTTTGAATAAGTTTATTTGAGTTTATCAACTGATATAAACATTTGGGAAACTGTTTAGAAGAGTTTATGGAAACAACTTTTGACATGTCGAGAGAACCTTTTGTAGGTTGTGACAAGTTTAGCTGATCCTTCTGCCAATATAATATTTGGAGCTGTTGTTGACGATCGTTACAATGGCGAGATTCATGTGACCATCATTGCAACGGGCTTCTCACAATCCTTCCAAAAGATACTACTAACAGATCCAAGGGCTGCCAAGCTTCTTGACAGATTACCAGTGGGAAAAGAAAGCAACCAAACGTCCCCTCCACTCAAAGGCTCAGAGTTTTCCTCAACAGTTGCATCTAAAGCATCCCCGAGAAAGCTCTTCTTTTAGCTTCTTCATTCTTTTAACCTTTTTGTAAAAATATTTAAACTCGATTCTGTTTATGGTCTTATTCTTTGATCGTGGAAAACACTTTAACAAACTCTTCAAGAAATTGGCTATTTTCAAATGACTGTGATTCATGGTGTTGTAAGGCATGTAGCATTTTTCTTGAAGGAATGAGTATGTATATAAGTTATTTAAAATATGTTGTCAAAGAAGCTTCAGTGTTAATGTCTACGGCCAATGTGTTACATCTGCATGTGGAATTCAAAGGTTTAGGAATAGCATTAGAACAAAATAAAGCCACTCAGATTGGGTTGTTGTGAGGATTTTGAGTAATTTGAATGTGCATCATTATTAGGGATGTCAATAAAGTAGAGAATGTCTGGAGGAAGTTTCTTCACTATCCGCTCTGCCTCTAATTTATTCTCCATCTCCGTCCTCAATCTCCGTCACGAGGGAATATTTTTCCCTATTTCCATTCCCATAAATTCTCACCGAGATCAAATTTTAAAACTTTTTTTAGACTTTTTAATCAAAACTATGATATTAGTATTTCATTATTTTATTCCTTTTAAAAAAAAACACATATGTTACATCTTTATTTTTTTAAAAATGAAAATACATATTGCATCAATAACAAAAAAAAAAAAGTAAAATCTCTTGTTGTTAATATTTTTTCTATAAAAAAAATAAATATTAACATAATTTGTTGCTATTATGTTTTTGTTAATTTATTACCACAATACCGCTGTCGTCTACGGTAAGTGATTGATTATGTGTGAGTGTGGTAAATCCATAATTATTAATGTAAGTAAAATGAATTTGAAGAGTAATTATCATAAGTATAATAAACAAATGAGAGTGGTTGTTGTGACGATGATGAGAACATATGAAATGATGAATGGAAGAGACGAAGATAATTGAGAAAAGAAAATGAAGAGACGTGAATATATTTTATATTTTAGGATTAGGTATTGTGGTGAAACAATACTGAAATTCTGGCTACAGATACTCAATGTCACGTCCAATGTTATGACACCGTATCTGACTTACTATATGACAGTAAATACAAAAGCAGTAAATAACACAGTCAATTGTTTACCCAGTTCAGTGTGCAACAACACCTACTCTGGGGGCTACCAAGCCAGGGAGAGAATCCACTATAAGAGATGTTAATTCAGGAATAAACCAACCAGTTTATCTCCTTCACTTAAGACCTACCCAATGCAATTCTAATCTAAGTACAACTTAAACCTGAGTTCCTACTCACTCCCCCTCAATCACAGCAGTGATACATAAACCAATTTGACTTGAGAATTGATGAAGACACTCTTCAAAACACACACTTGATTAAGCTTCACAGCTTTTTAATCAAGTAACACAATCACTCGTGCTTCACAGCTTTGAGTGATGTACACAACTAACTTGACTCTGCTTCACAGCTTTAGTCAAGTAACATTCAAACACTCTTGCTTCAAAGCTTTGAGTGCTACACAACCCTTACAATTGAAACCTATTCCAAGACACTTATCACAATGATAATTGCTTGGAGTACAATAAACAAATCTATACAGATTACAAAATTGATCTTCTAATCAATCAGCAGGGATACCTTGAAAAACCGCAGCTCTGTTGAATATATAGCAGCTGCAACTTCAGTTAGGGTTTCCAAAAACCTAGGGTTGATTCCATTTGACCTAAAGACCATGTCACAGTACTTTATTGATCAGGTTAGGATTGAGCTAAGTTACTCCTCAGAAAACGCAGGATTCTGTTTAGAGAGGACTGAGTTATTTCCTGAAAAAACTCAGACTTATCCAATCCTGCAATCCTGTTAGTTCAGAACAGGATGTCATAACATCTGTTATGACATCTGAGAAAACCTGTCTACTGATTTAGCAAAATGTGATCATTTTGCAAACATGCTCAGATACACACTTATAAACATCAGTATTTGAATTACAATATTTTTCTGCACATGTACCTATTGAGTTAGTACAACCTGAACTAGAATGTTATGACATCGGTCATGACATTCACACATACACTTGGGATTTAACAAAAATGCAAGCCAATACCTAAACACCTACAAACTCCCCCTTTGGCAGATTTTTGGCTAAAGTCCCTAAACAATCAGAGATAGATAGATAGCAGCAGAAATAAGTGACAGCAGAAAAATATAGTGTCAAGTACTAATTAAGCAGTACCAAAAATATTCTCCCCCACTTTAGCCACAAATGGGCCAAAGATTACATGTTTATAAAGTTATACAGTTATCCAAAACAAAATAATGAGATCAGCAGCAGACAACAGCAGAACACACTTCCAAACTCCACCAGCAACACCACCAAGCAGCAATCATCCTTCAAGCACTGTCATCAGACTCAGAGGAGCCAATTTCTTCAATGTTGAGCTGTCCTTCATCTTCTTCCCTTCTGCTTTCTTCAGCTTCTTCCTTTTCTAGCCTGGCAATTAGAGCTTCTAGGGTCCTTTTTCTAGCATCCAGATCTTTGCAAGTTTCTTTTAAAACAGCTATGACATCTGATGTTTTGGACTGGATCTTTGCAGACGATGTCTCAGCTGAAGTTATGACAATGTCTGGAGCATGGGATCCATGAAACAGTTTGTAGTGCAGGCCAAGGGCAGGGGCTCTTTTGCAGACTGTATCTCTTGCTACAAGGATGTCAGGGTATTGTGCAAGGATGATTCCACAAAGGAGGGAGGGAAAAGCAATTGGTCCTTTGACAGCAAAACTGCCAGCATGCTTCAAGGTTTGTTCAAAGATGTACCTTCCATAGTCAAAGGCAGTCTTGGTTCCTACAGCATAGATGAATCTCCCCAATCCTGTGGAGATGGTTGATTTGTGATTTGTAGGCACCCAGTTTGTTGCACCTATTTTATGCAAGATGGCAAATTTCATGCTGAGTTTACTAGCATTCAACTTCCCTTTCAATGGCCAGCACTTTACTTGCCTGGCAATGATGGTCAAACATACTTCATTGTCAGTTGCCTCTAGATCAGGACAGTCCTTATTTGTTCTTCCAAGAAACTTGTTGATTTCTGATGGAGAGAACTTGACCCTTCTTCCTCTAACAAACACACTCTCAAAGTCAGCTGACCTCCCATCAGCACAATCATTGGACAAGTTCACTACAAACTCTTTAACCAGATTTTCATAACATTTGCTAAACTTCATCACTGTCTTCATTAGCCCAGCATTCCTGATCAGCTCCATGATGTCTTTGCACTCCAAGGCATCATTGTTGAGTTCTCTCTCCAAGGCTATTCTCTTCAAGCAAACATACTTCCATCTGTTTGCATTATCAGGATGATGAAAGGAGATGTTGTCTGTTGGCACTTCAGGCACTCTAGCAATCTTGCTGGAGGGGAGCTTCCTTCTGATGGGAGTATTGTCAATGTCAATCTCAAATTCTGATTCATCATCAGAATCAGAAGTTTCAGGTTCTTTACTTTTCTTGGAGATTGGTTGTCTAGCAGTCTGCACCTGTGCCTTCTTCCCTTTTGTCTGAATTTTCTCAGCCATCCCTTCAGCCTTGGATTTCTTAGCATCAGGTTTAACAGTCTCACTACTCTTTCTTTTCATCAATCTCCTAGCAATGCTAGGGTTCACATTAGCAATCAGTTCATTATCTGAGTAATCTTCATCCACATCAATGATAGGTGGATCAGCAGCCTTTTCAGAGGGATTCTGAATGTTGTCTTTTGGTGTCACAACATCCTCAGTGACATCTATATTTTCAGAACCTTCCACATTTGGACTTTCTGATTGATTCAAAGGGATAGAAATCCCCGGTACAGATTGGTTGCCACTCAGAATGCTAGAAACCAGTCTAGCAATAGCTTGGTGTACTTGAACTGATCCTTCTTTATTAGGTGTAGAAGACGAAGGAAGAGAAGAATTACCAGAGACTGTAGCTTGAGCTCTTCCTGCATGTCTGGTCCTGAGATTTTTGACTCTGGCTGGGTCAGTTGCCATCTCCCTGAGAGGAGTGACCTCAAGAACTTCAGATTCTATGCATGTAGTGATTGCCCTAGAATCTTGATCAGATGATGACGATGATGAGTGAGACGAAGCCGCCATGGTGGAAGACGATGTCTGAGACATTGTGTGTAACGTTGAGTGATAGTAGCAGTTTGAGAAAACTCTTTGATTGGGAGGAGGAAACAGGTTGCAAGGATGAGAGAGGTAGGGAGTACAAGGGAGTCTCTTCAACTTCTTAAGGCTTTTGAAGGAATTGTGAATGAATATGATTAACCCACTAAATATAGACTTAATAAAATTAATCCCTTCAACCCTTGTTTTCAGCAAAACTAATTGCTATAATTTCTCATGTTGGTGAATACCCAATCTGCCCCTCAAATTTTCAAGTTTATTTCCAACAAGCGCCTTGGTAGAAGAATCAGTTAGCTGAAGCTTAGAGAAACTATGTTCCAGTTCAAATGACTTCTTTTCTCCAAAGTCAATAGGGTTCAAGGAAATGTTGAATGTTTTCAGATTATCACACCACAATGTCACAACATCTTGTGTAACATTGTCCTCAGGTAGCATCTGTTTTGACCAGAATTTTTGAGAACAAAATTTATGAGACTTGTTCTTTGCCACATCACATATATTATCAGCCTGTAGTTTAGGAGTTCTTCTGACATCTTCCATAGGAATATCTCTTTTCATTCCTTCAAGCTTATGCTGCCACTGTTTCATCTCTTTTTCTTCTTTGATGATTTGACTCATAGTGGAGATATCAGTGTTCTCAGGCTGCCACACATAACAGTTATTTTTGGATTTGATTCCTCTCATTACAACATCTAGTTTTTCATTAAACACTAGACATTCAGATCTTGAGAAGTTGACCATGAATCCTAGATCACATAATTGACTGATGCTGATGAGATTAGTAGTCAACCCTTTTACCAGCAGTACCTTATTCAGACTTGGAACTCCAGGGTAGTCCAAATTACCAACTCCTTTGATTTCTCCTTTAGCA